ACCATGGAGCGACGAAGAGACGAGAATGAAATCCAAGTTGGCCAAATATGCCCTGCCTAATCTAAGTTATAAATCCCGGACAGAACGGGCCAAATCGCGGAGCCAGACGTGACGCGTCTGCTCGGGCCAAGACCTCGGCCAGAAGTCCCGGGGTTCTGAGCGCGCGGCCCGACGCAGCGGGCCGGGCCCAGACATGCGCAGAAGCACTCGGACACCACGTGGCTGCCGATCGGAGCGCGGATTGGTCACTGGCCGACGCACTGCGGCAGCGCAGGCCGCAGACACGCGGTCGCATCGTGATGGGACAAAGTTCACGAATAGACACGTCCTGGGCCGCCCCCCCCCCCCCCAGCGCCGGGGCGGGGTAGCGACGTCACAAGTCGGCGCGCGAATCGGTCTGCGCCGGGAACTCCCGTGCCGGCCGGCGACACACGTGGTTACCACATCGTTACCGTACTTTTTCAGGCCGATGCATTAACTGTTCAACGATAATGGGCCGCCAATTCCTACACGGCACACGTCTGAAGTCCGATTCATTTTGACACAGTTAACCAGAGCCTCTGGTCTTCTATCAGGGTATAATTTTGACGTATGCCATTCTTTAAAAAAAAAACTTCGAGTTTCGAAGTCCGAGCGGGCGGCGAAGTCGAAGTCGCCTGTTATAGTCGTGGCAGCAACTTAGAAATCGAAGTCGGAGTCAGAGCTATAAAAAATAGTCAAGCCGCTTTGAGTCCGTCTACGAAATATTTATTTGGATCGTTTCCAAATCGCTCCCAGCCGGAGTGTAAGTAATTCGAAAAAAAAATACAACGGATTACTGCTCTACTAACCCACGTCGCCTTGGATGCCACTCCTAGATGTTTTTACCGCGATTGCTCAGAACGTGTAGCCGATCATAGCTGTGAGCTGGCACACCTGACCTTGAATTCAAGCCGTATCTTGTGGGACTATCCGCGTATCTAGGTCAGGTCAGGTGACTGACCTGAACAGGCTGAACTGAAGTATAAACCTCTACACGGTCCTAAAACGTCGCGACTTTGCAACGCCCTCAGTGCCAGAGGAGCTTTCGCACTGAGATGAATATTAAAGGACCTTCCAAGACCTCATAATTCGCATATCTCGGATTTTTTAAGGGTAACCTGAGGCATAAACCACTAGTGGTCTATGCCTGAGGTCAGGACGTGACCTCATGTGACCAGTCACTAATTACTAGTGATGTCAGTTACGGAAAATCTGAATACCGATACCAAACCAAATACCAACCAAAACCATGGGGAAATACCGAAACCAAACCAACTTGGAAAAATGAGGGAAATACCAACTTTTTACCGATTTCTTAGCCTTTTATACATTATTGAGGGTTCATGATACCAACAAAATACCAAACACATTACGAATGAAATACCAAATACCAAGTTGGTATCGGTTTGGTATCGGTATACCAAAAAGTTGGTATCCGATTGACATCTCTACTAATTACTATCATACGTCAATGAGGGATATGGAAACTGTTATTTTGGCCCCAGAAATGATCTAAGACACAGAATCGTGATTTGATGCCCTCCTTGCAAGGTTAGATGCGTCAAATTTGCAATGTTTACCTTGCGTGACGTCATTTATGACGTCATCAAGGTAATATTAGTTTTCCGCCAATAACTCCCGATCAAATTGAGCTAGCGAGTCGAGAAAGCCACCAATGGACTCAGGAAAACCTACCGAATCGAATGATATGCGACATAACCTCTGTCCTCTTTCGACCATCTTCGTGACCTGGGGGCGCTGACCTGACCGTGACCTGAGGTCAACACCCTAAGTTGACCTGACCCAAACAAAAAGTATATCATTCGACGCGCCTGAGCGAGGCAAACACGATGCTGCCAAAATCGCGGCTCTGCGGCCGTTTTTTTTTTGCGAAGTTATTCATCAAAAACTGAACCGTACCTTGAGGCACTTGACCTGACCTCAGAGGTCACAGGTTGACCTATGACCTTAAAATCGGGGATCAATATCTGCGTCTCGTAACGGCACACACGCTCATTTTTTTCCGCGACGCGCTAGCTCCACCAGGGGCGAAACGGCGAAGGGGGGTTCGTTTCGTACCCGCCCCCTCCCCTCGGTCGGCGCGTATGTAGAAAACCAATAGGTCCGGCAAGGGTTACATGGGCGCCTCAATGCCGAATGGGGCGCCTGGGAAGCGAGAGAGTCGTTTGTGCAACGTTTCTAAGGGGTGGTGAACTGGTGAACCTTGTGGTGAAACGTTTGTGGCAAACATAGGAAAAAGGACTGAGAGCCTTCAGCGCCCGTAAAAAAAGCTTGAGATAGTTGGAGATCGTTCCCGGCGCCAGAATAGCAATTTTTATTTTTCCCCATTGGCTTATAATGGTGAGGTCACGAAAATGACCTGACCTCATATGACCTTTAGGAAAAATTCGAGACAACAAGTTGCGAGACTCGTAATGGATACTAGATCCTGCAAGTTTCATTTCCCTGTGAAAGCTCCTCTGGCAGTGAGGGCGTTGCGAAGTTGCGACATCTGAAGACCGTGCAGATGTTCACTTATGACGTCATAGGTCAGTGACCTGACCTAACCCGAAAATGCGGTTGGTGTCAAAAGATTCGGCTTGAATAAAAGGTTTCAGCTCTCTATCACCAGCGTGTTCGGAGCTATCGCGAAAAAAAAACTTATCACCCGAAATTATTACAGTAGAATCGGCCTAATAAATCCTCGGATAATAAATCCAGCCGCTTGTGCCCTGTTGTGCTCACTTGAGCTGATCACCGATTTATCCATAGAAGCATAACTGACTCCGGAAGTCGCCGCTTGGCGCTTAGTAGGGTGAATAGGTCAAAAACGCCCCCATTAAGCGCGAAACCTTCTGACACTCAACCCAACACAGATTACTCAAACCTTTGGGCACCATCATGTAGCTCATTCTTTTTACTACGCTTTGAGACCAAGAAAAGACACCTGCGTGTGGTATTTAAACCCCCAAAAAGGTTTTCGCATACCCTTACAAAAGGGCGTTTTGCCCCACACCCTGGGTAATACGCCCACACCCATGTGCAAAACGCCCCCACCCCATCCAGCAACAGAACATGATGAACATGGCAGAACTTGACGTCATTCTGACGTCATTTGTGGTCAACCTATCATAGCCTTTGGAATAAAATTTTGATGCAATGTGTAAAATAGATGCCCGGAGGAGTCCTGAAAGTTTGGTGACGATATCTGCAGTCGTTTAGGATATATCAGCAAAAAAGGACAGGGAGAGGCCTTTTCGGCACCCACCTACAGGGCGCTACCCTGCACTCTCACCACCGTGCAAAACGCCCCCCTTTCAGAAAACTGGGGGCGTCTTGCCCCATGCATCGAGTAGGCGTCTTCCCCCATCCACTCCATTTCCGGTCAGCAAAATATTGACAAAAAACGCGCCACTAACGCCGCAGCATAATAAGTTCAACAGAATGGCAATAAAACGTAGTTTTTAGTGATATGCACAATATCAAGTTTTGTGATATAAAGAGGGCATCAAAATCTTAGGAATCTTCTGTAAAAACAACAAAAACAACACCCAAAACCAACATCAGCACCTACCCACGCTGCTCCTCAAGACGCAGAACCGGAAATAGAGACCTACGCAAACAAGCGGCTGACTGTTCTGAAAGACAGGATAAAACACCTACCTATCCGTCGATAAGAAATACGATTTTTTTAGGGGAGGCGTTTAACCCAGGGGTGCGTTTTCCCCACAGTTACCCTAAATCCAAAACGTCATGTCACCAAGGTGGATTGATTAAGCGGATTCTACTGTACATAGTGGTTTCGTGTGACCGCATGACTAGACGGTCACCCGAAACCACCCCTGCCGCGTCGCGCCCTCCTGCGCGGCGGTTGGCCTGTGCCATGAGCAAGGGCACAAAAACTAAATTTGAATGGTACATAGGTTACCATGTGTCACATGCACATCGGAGACATATTATGCAAACCCGATTTTTGACGTGCCGAATGCAGGGCCAGTGCGTGGAAAGGCATGGTTAACTCATAACTGACCAATGACCATCATCTATGGTACGGTGGTGCATGCACCATGGGATGAGTACCTGCAGGTGCTCATCCCCTCCGGCCTCCCTATAACTTCTGCCCTGGTTGACTCAGTTGAGGCAGCCAGCGAAACACCTATCCTGGCCTCACTTTGAGCGCTGTCCTTTTCAGACTTCTAAGTCCTTCCGTTTGCTATAAGAATGCAACCATACGTGGAGAACTGTAAAGAAGTGTGGGTGTTCGGGGACGGGCAGCGCGGGTGACCTTGACCTCCGCCGTCTGCTGCGGTCCCAAAGCAAAGCCGGCGCACTGGGACGGTGGATTTGCATTGCCCGAACACCCACAATACTCTATACAACCCACAACTCCATACAATTCTCAAACTATGAATACAACTCGTTCCTTGCATCAATTTTGCACAAAGCACCTACGGTAGGTAACTGGTAGGTAAGTGGACTGGTAAGTAGCAACTTGAGTGATAGACGAGGCTTGCTTGGTATACCACTTATAGCGCACTTAAATTCGTTCAATACAAATCGAGAGCAAAACCATAAAGTTCACACGAAGTCCCCTTGTCGCTTTTTACGAATCCGTACGCTTGGCAGTAAGTACCTACTAGTACGCTAGCATGGCATAATTTTCAAATTAGCTAACGCAAGCTTTTTTCTCAGCCTAATTTTCTGTCTCATGTGCGTTGCTTTCATTGACTCAACAATTTTCCTGTTTCCTTCAAGGATAGAATATTGCTTTCGTATTAGTTTTATGATTTAGGTCATAAATTAATATTACTCGATGTAAGCTGCTATAATTTGGATTAATAAATATCATAAAAATATTAATATAATGAAAAAATTGGAACAGTTTTGAATCTTTGGTTTCGAAATCCTGACATTTTAAAGCTTCATCAATTTACTTCATACAATGAAGGCATAATGGGGCATACCTAATGCTTCCAAACATCAACAACGCCGGTTGATTTTTGGGAACGCGACGCTCTGTGGTGTGGCTGTCGTGTTGTGTGTGTTGGTGCATGGTGGTAGAGGATTTGTTTATGTTTTCGCAGTAGTTTGAGTGTGAAGGTCCCTTACAAGCATCAAGAGCATTTTCTCCATTTTGATTTTTTGTTGTGCAGTTTGGCTGCAATTGCAGCAGTGCAGTGCAGTGCAGTTAACTGCTTTGAACCGCTCCCCATTCAACTGTTTGAACCTGGACTGACACATAAGACCGTGTGACATCAACATGCTTTTATTGAGTTTATTTGAGTAAGCTCAAGCTGTGAGCATGTAGAGAATTTTGTTCAATCATAAACATGCAACATTCTGGAGGAATGTCAGATTCCATCCGACCCTACAAGCTCGGTAAGTTGGATGTCTAGATATGTTTGTGTGTCGTAAAAGAATGAATTGGAATAATAGCATTCGTAAAGAAGACAGTTGCATAATCAACTGTTATTCACTCAGCTAATTTTTTTGTGAGTAAGATTAAGCTTGCATGGAAGAGTAAGAAGATGGCCAACCCCTGGCCAACCCCTCTGCTAGGCGTGATGTACTTCAAGGAGCACCCCAACTGCGCCACTCAGAACAGTACAGCAACATCTATCTGACCCCAGACCTGACCCGGGACGAGCGGGAGGCAGGAAGAAAGCTGAGAGAGGAACTGGCAGCAAGGAAGATGGCAGGGGAGACCAACCTTTTCATAAGAGGTGGTCGAATTGTCTCACACAGCCTGGGCCAAGAAAAGGTGGTACCCAAGGAGCAGGCCAACAATGACGGTGCAACTGCCCCAGACAACCATATCAGTGAGAGCACGCCCAGTCGGGAACAGCCAGGAAACATCACACCTGTAACAGCAGCTACAAATGTTTCTAGCCATGCCCGACCAGTGAGGCCTGCTGCTGCTTTCACAGAGACATCTGCCACAAATGTTTCGAATGATGTTCACCCAGCAGAGTCAGCCGCTGCTGGCTCAGGGACAAACAAGAAAACACAGTACCAAAGCAAACAACCAGCTCAATGACTAAATGGGGAGGCGGCTGGAGGAGTAACGCAAGGGCTTAAGGTATTGTATACCAACGCGGACCAATTTGTAAGCAAACGAGATGACATGGCCATGCTTATCTGCCAAGATGAGCCAGACATCATCCTCATTACAGAAGTGATTCCAAAAGCTCAGCGGCTTCCACTGTCGCCTGCACTGCTGAACCTGGCTGGCTATGTACTTTACACCAACTTTGACCCATGCTCCCCCAACCTTGGTACCAGTGGTATGAGAGGGATCTGTGTGTACACAGCTGAGACCCTCAAGGTGTCCGAAGTCACAATTCAGTACCAGTCCTCCGTTGAACATGTGTGGATCAAGATGGCACTTGCTGGCAGTGACTGCTTACTCATCGGATGCCTTTACAGGAGTCCATCAGGAAACACTGAGGAGAGCATCAGAGAAGCTGAACAGTTAATTTGCACATCATCAAGGTCCATGCCATTCACACATCTCCTGATTGTTGGTGACCTGAACCTGCCGCAGATAAACTGGGACAGTGGAACATCATCCGCCCCTCTCTCTCATGGTTCTTACTCATTTATCAACACTGTTCATGAATGTTTCCTGTTCCAACATGTACTAAGCCCAACAAGATACCGACCAGGCGAGACCCCAAACACCCTCGACTTGGTCTTCACTAACGAGGAAGGCATGGTCTCCAACCTGGAATACCTCCCCGGCCTGAGCAGCAGTGACCACGTCATTCTCAGATTCACTCTGGTATGCTACTCTCCAAGGAACTTAAACCAAGCATCTCACCATGTAGTCATCGACTATGGAAGCATCCCCAAGGAATTGGAAGAGTGCAACTGGTCGCAGCTGGCAAACATGAACATGGAAGAATCCTACGCCACCTTTAAAGAACAATTATCAGCTGCTGTTGCTCGATGCTCGAAACGGAGGAAGAACGGACAGAAAAAGAACATGTACTTGAACAGGACAGCTATGCAGCTACGAAAGCAAAAGAGGGAGCTGTGGAGCAAATACCGTCAATCCGGCGACGCCCTGGATTACGCCAGGTTTACGAGATGCAGAAACAGGCTCAGAAAGTTCACAAGGTATCTCAGAAAAGATTACGAAACCAAGTTAGTTGAACAGCTGAAGCAAAACCCAAAAGCGTTCTGGAGATACTCGAACTCAAGGCTGAAAACCAGAAGCAGAATCGAGGAACTCCGGGACGTAAACGGGACCCTGACATCCGACAACCAAGAAAAATCGGATCTGCTGAGCAGGTACTTCAGCAGCATATTTACGCCAGTTGACCATTCCTGCCCTCACTTTGACTTAGGTTTCCAGGGACCCATGCTGCAAGACATTGAAGTGTCTGCTGAGGAGGTAAAGGCAAAACTGCTCGCTCTAAGGCCTAACAGTGCCCCGGGCCCAGACGCCGTGCACCCCAGGGTACTTCGCGAAGCTGCCTCGATGGTTTGCCTTCCACTCAGTGTCCTGTTCAGGAAGTCTCTTGACTCTGGTATACTGCCACCAGACTGGAAGACAGGTGAGATTACTCCCATCTACAAGAAGGGGAACCGCCAGAGACCAGAGAGCTACCGGCCAGTCAGTCTCACCTCGGTCCCATCGAAAGTTATGGAATCCATCATTCGCGACCGCCTCCTTCAGCACTTTTCTGATGCAGGGCTCCTCCACAAGGCACAACATGGGTTTCTCCCGAAGAGATCCTGCTCGACCCAGCTGCTTGAGGTGATGGAGGACTGGAGCGCTGCTGTGGAGGCCGGGGAACCGATCGATGTCGCATACCTGGACTTCTCCAAGGCCTTTGATTCTGTCCCGCACCAACGTCTCATCACGAAACTACATGGCTATGGCATCAGGGGAAAACTGCTAGTTTGGATCGCCGCCTTCCTGCTCGATCGCCGACAGAGGGTGGTCGTCGGAGGTGCGAAGTCCGACTGGACTCCGGTGACCAGCGGAATCCCCCAGGGATCTGTGCTCGGGCCGATCTTGTTTAATATATTTGTGAATGACATGCCTGGTCAGGTCTCCGGCTGCATCAAGCTCTTCGCCGACGATACCAAATTGTACCGCCACGTGACTGGAAACTCCGCCGAGTTCCAAGCCGACATCGACGTCCTCGTCCGCTGGTCGAGCAAGTGGCTGCTGCCCTTCAATGCTTCAAAATGCAAAGTGATGCACATTGGCAGACTCAACCCTGGGAGAACCTACCGCCTGAACGACTCTGCCATCGAGGGAGTTACGGAGGAAAAGGACCTGGGCATCATCATCGACGAAGACCTGAAGTTTCACCAGCAAACAGCGGCTGCCATCGCGAAAGCCTCCCAGATGCTGGCTGTCGTGAAGCGCTCCTTCGCTACCATCAATGAGGTCACTCTCCCTCTGCTCTACAAGTCCATGGTCCGACCTTTTCTGGAGTATGGGAACCTGATCTGGGGACCCTTTGGCAGAGTTGACCAGGCAAAACTGGAGCGGGTGCAGCGCAGGGCAACCCGGATGGTTCTGAGCATCCGGCATCTCCCGTACCCGGACCGACTACGTCATCTTCGCCTCCCCTCGCTGTACTACCGACGACGCAGAGGCGATATGATCACCGTCTTTCAGCTGCTGCACGGCGAGATGGCAGTGGAACCCGAACGGTTCCTGCACAAGAGCACCTCCAACCAAACAAGAGGCCACCAGTGGAAACTGCTCAAGCCCAGAGCGAACACCCTGACACGAAGAAACGCCCTCAGCACAAGAGTCGTCAACGACTGGAACGCCCTGCCGTCCACAGTAGTGTCTGCCACATCGGTTGCTCAGTTCAAGGCACGACTGGACCGACACTGGGCGAACAAGATGTACGACATCCCGAATCCCTACCATTAAGAGCCTCGCCTTTACCTGTCACACACGCTCGATAGGAGCGGGACCTCCAGGCCTAGTGGCCTTATTACCCGATAACCGATAAGGTAAGGTAAGGTAAGGTAAGATATGACCTCAGACCTACCCACTTATTGCTGAGCACTGGCTAGCTGTTCCCTAGTGATTTTACATTGCAGCAGGGTTAAAAAGTTGTGTGGTGCTTGAATTAGTATTTTGCTGTAATATATATGTTTATTTGGTTGCAATATTATGATGGTTTATATGGCCTTGATTATGATTATTATTTCACATTTCAGCTCATCAAATCCTGAGCTTGACAGGGATCAATCTTCAGCGTCAAAGCATTATCGTAAGTGATATAATGCAATTAAGGTTTTGCATACAATGTGTTTCTTCATTTTGATTTGAGTTTTTATATCAATACTTTTTAATTAAAATCACGTTAACATGCTTTTCAATTTTAATAATATGTGCTTATGTGATTTGAGTAGGCAATGCTTCAATGCAGTTTCACTTTTTATGGAAAATACTGATTGAAAGATCTGTCTAAATAATATCTGAATTTCCATTTTTAATAAGAAACAATGTATGGCTGCCAAAACATGCCTCCATGATCACTGACCAGTCTGTAATTAGTCCCTGTAATCTACATAGGGCCATAATCTATGGTTAAGAGAGGGGATTTGGGTGTGTCTGCTAGGCATTGAAGGGGTATCTGCTACCTTATCACTTTCCAGTCTAGACCTGGACTCAAAATCCAGCTCTGTGGCAGGTACTGACTTCAAAGTTGCCAGCAGTTTGAGTTGTACCAAAGTCCTCCCATTGTTTGGGTGGATTTCCCCTTGTCAAAGCTGCCCTGCCTCTGCAACTCATGTATTTTTGAATGATAGGGTAAGATATTCATAAGATATTCATCTGAACTGACTTAAGCCCTTATTTATCTTGTAAATTTCTAGACATTGAATTCAACCAAACCTTTACTATATTTTGTAGGTATGTCAGTCAGGTGCCTGATTAGTAACATAATGATAACCATTTGACCACTGCCACCAGGGTTTTGTGGAGCTGACACTGGCACTGCAGACTGAGTACCTTAGGCAGGTGAAGCTCAATTGCAAGCAGTGCAGAGTCTACCGGATCACACTCAACGATGACCTGGAGACGACCTTCAGCTACTGCGATCCTACTCAGGATATCATGCAGGGTAGCTCAAAGTAAGTCATGGGGAAAATGAGTTATCTGAACTTGCTACTTGCTAGTGAATTTGCTACTTGCTAGTGAATATGCTACTGCACGATTGAAGGTCAGTTGGACACTGATTGCCTTTCTGGTTACCACATTTAGTTATAACCTTTTCTGTAGCATACCTACCCACTTACTGTTGATGACTCAATCTTATATAAAATGGAAGCTAGTCATGCTGACTAACGGAAATCCAGCTCCTCCCAGATCAGTATTTCACCCACCTTACCCAATTCTTACCCACCCTGGTCCCCCAGCCTTGCCAACTACCCGATATTTTGCCTTTCCCATTGTCTCACTCCCATACCTGCTCCCATCCTGCCCGTCCAGCACGCTCCCACTGACCACCTCTCACTCTCCTTTACCAGCCGCGACCTGGAGTCGTTCGCCGAGGCGCACGAAGCGGCCGTCAACTCTACGGACCCAGAGTACGGACGTGGCGAGCTGGTGGTGGACATACCGGTGGATGCTCAGGACCTGATCCAGGAGGGGCAAATGCTGCGCATCGGCGTCGAGTTCAGCCTGGAGACTCCCACGGCCGGTGTGCAGTTTGTGCTGCCGGACACGGATGGCACTCCGGCGGAGCGAGGAGCCCACATGTTCACCTACGGCTTCGAGAACTCGTCTCGGCTGTGGTTCCCGTGCATCGACAGCTTCTGTGATCTGTGCACCTGGAAACTGGAGTTTACAGTGGATGAGACTCTGACGGCGGTATCGTGTGGCGATCTGATTGAGACGGTGTACACGCCCGATATGAGGAGGAGGACGTTCCACTATCACCTGGCGCTGCCGACCGCGGCGCCCAACATCGCCCTGGCCGTGGGGTGAGTGGTGTGGGAGCGGCCGGTGAGTGGTGGGGGAGCGGCCGGTTAGTGGTGGCGGAGAGGCCGGTGAGTGGCGTGGGGGCGGTCCAGACTCGTTCGATCCATAGTGGGCACTGGGGTAAGAACAGGAAAGGCAGTAACTGCGGTAAGGAAGGTATCGCAGACTCGTTAACTGAAAAATCAGAATTATGTCGCCTGCAAAATCGTAGTAGATTGCTTAAACTCGAAATATTACTTCGGTTACCCGTGTTTTCGGTTGTTAATTGATCCAGACTCAGACTAATGGATTTAATGCCCTAAAATGCAGTTGCAGCATCGTGTAACTTCTTCCTGTTTTCATTCCAGCATCTAGCTCACGCCAGCCTCAACTCCCCCACTCGTTAACTCACACCTCGTCGTTTTCAGACCGTTTGAGATCTACGTGGACCCGCACATGAACGAGATCACCTACTTCTGTCTGCCCAACCTACTGCCTCAGCTCAAACACACGGCCAAGTTCATGCACGCTACGTTCGAGTTCTTCGAGGAGGTGCTGGCCAACAGGTGGGTCAGCGCAGAGGGGTCGAGTCCTAATGAATATGGGTGATAAAGGTCAAAGCTGTGTAATGAAGACTGAGAAAGGCATCTGCAGTAGATGATAGGTGGGGATGCATGAGTGCTATGGTATTGTAGGGCTCCGCTATTCCGCGATAAAGTAGGTATGGTTGGGAGCAGATGCATCGGTGCCGGGATAACGTGGGAATGTGTGTATCGGAAATTTAACTTTCTATCGACAACTTAAACCAGATGTTTCGTTTCTGACATTTCTGACGATAAATCATTTCTGACAGTCTAATAGCTGCGTCGGTGAATGTACGAAGATTGTCATTTGCGAGTATCACACGACGCTCCCTTCTGTCCCATGTCCGCAGGTTCCCGTACTCGTGCTACAAGCAGGTGTTTGTGGACGAGACGTACGAGGACGTGTCGTCTTACGCCACCCTCAGCATCCTCAGGTGAGACTGTCTGCATGGAGAGGGGGCTATGGGACCAGTAGTGCTGGTCCTTGCGACCTGGGTCCCCGTCTTTCTAAAATTACTGCTTGTGACGTGAGACTTTAATCCTATCTCGAAATGATTTAGATGCGTTGTGAACACTGCATGTGTAACCCCATTATACACTGCTCGACACCATAGCCTACCGTTATATTGCAGATAATAAACATGTAGACCAGGTCGCACTGTCCCTCTCTTCCATGATGGATATGGGTGGGTTATCATTGTATCCGTCCCCGTGCCATTTCAGCGTGAACCTGCTGTGCCCGCCACAAGTCATCGAGCAAGTGTACGAAACGCGCCGGTGCCTGGCGTTAGCGCTGGCCCACCAGTTCTTCTCCTGCTTCATATCGTTAACGGGCTGGAGCGACGCGTGGCTGACGCTGGGTATCAGCCACTACCTGACCGGGCTCTACGTGAAGAAGTTCTTCGGCATGAACTACCATCGCGACTGGATGTACTCGGTACGCTCCGGAAAAGGGACTGTGTGTTGGTAACGGGCACTTCGTCTGCTGCCCGTGGGAATACGAATGCATGCTGCCCATTTTTGTACAAAGTCACTCTAAATATGTGAGTGGGGGGCTCAGGCTGGGGTGCGTTGGAATGGTAAGTGGATACGGCCCGAAAGTCACTGTTGGACATCACTGACCAGTAGGTACCGGTACTCTTGTTACAGGAGATGCAGGAGGTGATCAAGTACGAGCAGCGGTACGGCCCGATAGTGCTGGACAATACTGACCGGTACTGGTACTCTTGTTACAGGAGATGCAGGAGGTGATCAAGTACGAGCAGCGGTACGGCCCGATAGTGCTGGACAACAGCGGCACGGCGCCGACGGGCAGCCACGCTCCGCCCACCTTTCACCCACTGCACTCGCAGAAGGAGTTCTACTTCCCACTCAGGTACTGATAGCAGCAAAAGGCCCAGCGGGCTGTATTGCAAGCGGGCTGTGTTCCAGCCCATATAGAATAAAATCTCGAGGGTTTGTCTATTTTTTTTTTCATTTAACATGGTTGATAGGAGTTTTTAAACTCATTATTGGAGCGTTTATACCGAGCCAGCGTGCCACTTCTTTTCGCTGCCTGACTGTCCGTCACTTCGGCTAGCTCGGCGCACATGGCATCGCCTCGCTACTTGGAGGTTTACGATATCTACTTGCCGTGTTCGCCCATCTGACCGTCTGACCGTCTCTCCGTCCAGTTCGGTCCACACGGTATCGCCTCGCTACCTGGAGGTCTACACCAAGAAGTCACATCTCATCATGAGGATGATCGAGCAGCGTATCGGAGCCGAGCTTCTCCTTCAGGTCAGTGCGAGGATGTGAGATGTATTGGGGTGCTAATTTGTGCGCCGGTGACTTTGTAAGCTCTATGCATGAGCTTCTACTGTCATGGATGGGATACTCTCGGATCAGGGTAATGTTTTATTAGACGTGCCCTGATCGTGCGTGACCTCCTGCATTACGCGCAATTAGCTATCGGTGGCAGCACTGCTCGCGGCAGGTGACACGCCCATCTAGATAGGAGGTGTAGTGGGTTACTCTCCCGCCCATCAGGCATAGGCTGAGTTCATCACCCGGCTATTCCAAACCCAAACCCGGCCACTTTCCGTCCCCGCACCTGTGACACCATCTCTCCCTGCCTTTCCCAGGTGTTCAACAAGCAGCTCTCGCTGGCCATGAACGCCTGCGAGCAGCGCTTCTCCTACGACGCCTGGGGCAGCATCCTGCTCTCCACCAGCACCTTCCTCAAGGCCATCTACACTGTGACCGGCAAGGACATCAACGTGTTCTGCGACCAGTGGGTGCGCCAGGGAGGACACGCACGCTTCCACATGTCATTCGTCTTCAACCGGAAGAGGTATGGAGATATGAGAGCGTGGCTCTGGGAGCAGGGTGGGATAGGCGGCGGTAGAGTTGGTTTGAGGTGGTGAAGATTCTGGATATGCCGTTCGTCTTTATTTTGCAATGTGCTTGATACTGAAATTGTGATTATTCCTTTTGTCATTGTGGTATATTCTCTTCACTACCTAATGTGCAGAGCGTTGGTTGTTGAAAAAAAAAAACAGTTTCGCCCACTCGCACCAATTGATTTTGTGACAATTGAAGCTGTTTTTTTTTCGCTGCCTATCAAAGCATTTATATTTCTATAACTGTTTTATCGTAGTTTCTCCCACTATCCTCGTTCTGCAGGAACACGGTGGAGCTGAAGATCAGCCAGGACCAGGTGGGCTCTCGCGGCGTGCGTCTCTACATGGGACCGCTGCTGGTGCATCTTCAGGAGCTGGATGGAACGTTCAAACACACACTCCAGATAGGTAGGTGCCTTGGAACGGACGGAGTGCTCGAGAGTGATACATATTTTATGCAATAAATGGGAATGCTTTGATACTTTTTATTTGGTGTGCGATCCTTTGACGCTAGTAAGCTGTGTCTGTTAAGTATCGACTATCGAGCAAACCCTTGCTGGACTCGAAGGTCATTATATGCGTTTTTGATTACCATTCCACAAGTACATAGAAGCTCTACCACACTGCTCGTCGCTGCTCTGGCCAATTTCCACTCGCCTCTGGCCGCCGTTTAACCGCGCACCCACCCGCAGAGGGTATCAACGCCTCTGCGGACCTCGTGTGTCACAGCAAGTCGCGGCGCCAGAAGAAGAAAAAGATCCCACTCTGTACGGGCGAAGAGGTCGACATGGACCTCAACGCTATGGAGTAAGTGGGAAATGGTCGGGGAGGGAGCAAACGGTGATAAGGGAGAGGGAGGGTGAAATACGAACGTTTCTTTCCGATGGCGAGGCGAAACAGGATCTTCTCAGACTTGGCGGATGAGTTTGGTCTACGGGACCGCCTTTTTCATGTCAGTGGATCTCAGTAGCACGGATCAATAATTGTTATGTTGTCGTCCGGCCGCTGCATTAGTGTAACGATATTTTTTTCGTTAATACCTTTCGTACCATTATGCGATCCCTGACTGGACGCTCGCTTCATTTATATATACAGGGTGTCCCAAAAGTAACGTCATCATTTGCGTTGGTCCCATCTCTGAAAGTATGCGATGGATAGGAACAAAAAAGATATCATGTGAAAGGACATTTTGCAAAATTATTTTGTGATATAGATATGAGCCAAGGTATTGGTTCGTAGCCCCACATTTACGGCTTTTCCGCATGGCTACCATTTCGGGTCGCGTACATGAATAGACTGCCTTTGAATTCCTCCGCCATTCTGGAGCGATTCTTTGATGCCATGCACCTTATGTTTCCTCGGATGGCTCATCATTTAGCTCTTCCTAGCTCGCTGGGTTGTTCTCAAAGACAACCGTTCCGATGTGTACCCAAAGAATAAAAATATGGAGGTGTCCAGTCAGGTGATGGCAAAGGCCTACGATGGCGGTACCCTCTGAAAATTATCCGATTTCCAATCCACTCTGGGAGACAATGCATAGTCTTCAAGGACGGTGCAAACATGGTCTCCGTCCTGCTGAAACCACTGCTGGTGTGATGGTGTCGGCACAGCTGCGCTGCAGCGAGCGAAAGAACCAACCAAAGGAAACCCTCGGCCACCTCTCTCGGTTTATCGTCACCGAATTCCCGCTGCCGTCTTCAGAACCTCGAAGGACAAGGGCCAAGTATACATGCCCTGTGCGCATATTACATTTTTTTCTGGCGTTTTACCTGTTGCAACGAAGCTATGAACGACTTCAGAGATAGGTCGAGCTGATAGGGTCTTCTTAGGGCCGAAAAGTCAGCGTATTTACGCTGTGTTCCAATGACGGACCCTCTCTTAGAGTTGAAATTCGATCACTTTAGTTTTCTGCCTACTGCTCTGTGTAGTTATCATTAGAAATGATTTAAGTATGCCAGCAAATAATTTTATAAATGTACCTTACACGTCCTAAAACTTGAAGTTATTCGGATTCTTACATCTCGAGATATTTCAATTTTAAATCATAACCTTACTTTTGGGACACCCTGTACTTCCCCGTCCCCCTCTCAGCCCCGACTGACCAATTCTCTGGATCCGTGTAGACCCCGAGTTTGACCTTCTACCCCCCCCCCCCCCCAGCCCGGACTCGCCAGTGCTGTGGATCCGTCTGGACCCGGAGTTCTCCGTGGTTCGTGAGACAGTGGTCGAACAGCCCGACTACCAGTGGCAGTTTCAGCTGCGCCATGAGCGGGACGTGGCCTCTCAGATCGAGGCGGTGGACGCGCTGGTCCGCTACCCCAGCCCGGCGTCCCGCTCGGCGCTCACTGATGTGCTCGAGAACGAACAGTGCTACTACCGCGTCCGCATCCGCGCCGCACACGCCCTGGCTAAGGTGGGTGGGGCACGCGTGACCGGGTTACGAGGGGTCTGGTACGGATTCTGCTTTCAGAAATTGTTCAACAAAGTAACAATCTCTTGGACATGCGTAGTATTGCATTTATTAGGCAATTTTTTCACTTCTTTCAATCTGGTTTCGAACTGCTGAAAGTCTGCTTTAACTCCATCTTCGTGCTTGGCGCCCTGCTGCAGCCATGGTATTAATCATGGCTATCATAACCAGTTTCCTCTGCTGTCTGATTAGTGATTAGTCATACATTGTCGAATCCCGGACTGCCGCTCCCCCATACCCCTGTACTTCTGACTATTTCTGTACCGCCCGTTATCCCGTCCCCCAGGTGGCCAACGCGCTGGTGTCGAGCTGGTCCGGTCAGCCGGCGATGATGGTCATCTTCAGGAAGATGTTCGGCTCCAAGTCGTGTCCGCACATCGTCCAGCTCAACGACTTTGAGAACCTGCAGGTCTACTACATCCAGAAGGTGGGCAATTGTTAGAAGGGCTTGGAAGTTCCTCTGGCTTGTTTTGAAAGCCATCGGTTTGCAGTAGTAGATTAAACAGCTTTTGGGATCATTGATGCAAGATGCGGTTTAATGTCAGCGGCACTTGAATTGTGCGACCTATAAGGTTGCTCAGCGCCCATATAAGGTATATATTCAGATAAATCGTTTACACAACTTTCTCTCTGGAATAAGGTGCTTATTTTGCTCTACACGGCTCACGCCCGTACTAAAAATGCGTTGAATGGCCTAAACGTGCATTTTTTACTGTCTCCACATGCAAGCATTTCCAGCTCGTAATAGGCATGTGTCTGGTGTCAGTGTGGAATGTAGAATTTATAGTGCGAATATTTTATGATGGATGTAGCCCCGTCGCTGATTTACGACGCCATTAACGACTGCTTCCACACTTTCAGACGATCCCGATCGCCATGGCAACTCTGCGCAACTCTCACGGCATCTGTCCGCCGGAGGTGTCCAAGTTCCTGCTGGACCTGTTCAAGTACAACGACAACAGCCGAAACAAGTGAGCAGGGAGGAGGGTTGGCCTGTCGGCCGGACGGTGGACAATTGTTGGAGAAGGGCTGAGTGAAGTAGGCGTAGGTAGGCCGCTAGGAGTCGATGACGGACTTTCAGGAATCAGCTGAACACCGATTGCGACTGGAGCAGTCGACAGTCATTCATGGATATGAGTTTTCCGGTGAGAAATGATGTTGGTGTTCACTGTTCCCGTCTATTCATGATAACGCTCGCTATTAGACGTTGTTTTGCAAGCTCAGTTTTTAGGTCACTAGTATTTCGATAATTTTACAATGACACGTAATTAGTTTACTCGACGCGTAAAGATGTCTGACCTCTCCCCCGCCTCGCCCTCAGGTACTCAGACAACTACTACCGAGCCGCTCTGATCGAAGCTCTGGGCGAGTCGGTGACGCCCGTCGTCTCCCTGGTCTCCCAGCTGGGTGCCGCCAGTATCACCCCCGACTCCCTATCACCCGAGACACGACAGCTGCTGGACGAAATCGTCCGCGCACTCAACCTCGACAAGCTGCTGCCCTGCTATAAGTTTGTGGTGACACAGGCGTGTCTCCGCGCGCTGCGGAAGCTGCAGAGGTGTGGGCATCTGGCCAGTCGGCCGCAGCTCTTCAAGGGGTACGCTGCCTACGGACAGTTCATTGGTGAGTAAGTTTGTGAGATGAGAGGAGTCAGAGTGAGTGTGAGAGGGGAGGGGCTAGGAGAGGGTGTGACTGGGTGGGGGGAGGAGACTGATGTTACTAGTGAGGGCGGAATATGCTTGGTTTCAGTTTTCAGTGCCTACTGCCTATTTATTCGTTTAGTTTTAGTGGTGGGTTATTCTCCACACGAGGTTTGGTCAACATTTTCGGTTCATTTCACTTTAGCAAACGGAAAATGTTGACCTCTCCCCACGTTTCACATTGCCAACAACCAACCATGTGACCGGCCACCCTCCGATGTTTCTGTCTCAGACGTGCGACTGGTGGGACTCTCTCGACCAATTGCTAACCGGTGTCTGTCTCAACTGATGGCCGCTAACCCGTGCCTCTCCCTCCCAGACGTCCGGTTGGTGGCGCTCTCCTGTCTGGTGGACTAACCGGTGTCTCTGTCTCCCTGACTAACCCGTGTTTCCCTCCCAGACGTGCGACTAGTGGCGCTCTCCTGTCTGGTCGACTACGTGCAGGCCGACGGACAGGAGGAGGACCTGCTCTTCCTGCTCTCGATCCTGGAGGCCGACCCGGTGCCCCAGGTGCGCCGGCAGCTGGCCAGGATGCTGGTCGATACGCCGCCGTTTGAGCGCGGTAGGAAACACCCGCTGGACACGGGAGACGTGGCAATACGGCTCTGGATGTTAATGAAGTGAGTAGGGCGGAAGGCTACGTTGCTTCTAAGTTGAGTTTGGTACGCGGAGAGGAAGAGGAACTTCGGGTAGTGCTATGGGAGGGGATGGATGTAGAAGTCTGAGGAAGTTTGTTGGTGTGCTCCTTTGTAGCGGATGATTTGCGTTGCAATACTGGACGTCTAGAAGGTTGCAGATATTCCAATCAAGGACCTGTCCGATCATTCGCTAGGTTTGGAATGAATTACAATTCGTTCTTACTTGCACGTATCACAAATGGTTATGCTACTGTGTAGTGTGTAGCGTATCACAAATGGTTATGTTGATGTGCAGTCACATCACACATGCGTATAGCGACACCTATGTATAGTGGTCCTACGGTGACTGACCTGACTGGAAGTCAGCCAACCCGCACCACCACCGGCCTCCGTCTCTCTAACGCCTCCCGCCCTCCCTGTGACCGTCAGCGCCGGCTGTGCGTACGACTCTCAGCTACGCTGTGCCGTGGTCGACCTCTACTACGTGCTGTACGGCCGCGGCCAGCCGTCCTGGATCCCCGAGCTGTCGCACTTCCCCACCATGGACGGGCGTCTGAAGGAGGACCCGCTGGCTGACGAGCCGCCGCTGTCCACGACGCGCCTCAGCCGACACGAGGTGAGACCACGTGCGACACGTGTGCCACGTGCGCGGATGGTATAAGACTTAGTCATTACCATCCGCTAATTCTTATACCATCCGCTATCATTGTCTATTATACAATGAGCCAAAGGCTATTACTTGCTTATCTTTTAATAATAATGGGGCTCATTTTCAAAGAAACCCTCAACATCATTCGGTATAAGACTTACCTTTGACGTGAATTGCGAGCTGTTCGGTTCAGAATTTAATGCTCTCACATACATTGAGTCATGATTTCGATGGTATATCATAACCTTCTATATTTGGGCAAATACTATACATATGCAGATCGATGATACTTCTCTGGTGATCGGACCAGCCCTGGAAGAAGTCAAGAGCTCTTTCAACTGGAGGTTTCTTTGTTTCACACCGTCCCCTCCTTTTCACTTCTTGACTCGCGTTTCTCGGTACCGTCAGCTGGAGCTGGAGCGGGCCCGGGCTCGCGCGCGCCGCTCGGCCCTGGAGCCGCCGCCGTCACCGCCGCCGCCGCCCCCGCCCGAGGACCGCAGCCCGCCGCCGCCGCCGCCGCCCGGTGCCGAGCCTGCTCTGGATATGGACGATCTGGTCTCTGTGGAGATGGTCTCGGACGATGAGACAAGGAGGGATGATGTGAGTGGGGCCGGCTCGGAGGGGACGGGAGGGACGGCACGGAAGGAGGGAATGGACATTGTACAGGATGGGAGGGGGAGGTTGGGTAGATGGACAAGGTCGGTGCAAAGGTTGCAGGTCGTGGCCTTTCGTTTCACTCATTTCTCAGCTGTGGTCATTCTCGGCCTCGATCGCTATGGGCTCACACAGGTGTGTCATAATGTGCTTCAAAGTACAAGCTGTCGTGTTTTCTCAATTTCGTTGCCTTGTTTACCTCTTGCACCGTCGTTTTACACTCATCTGACCTCCGTGTGACCCCACTGACCTCCGCTGACCTCTATGTCCCCTCTGTCCAGGAGTCGACGGACATCTCGCCGCTGGGCCGGACCAAGTCTGAACCCTACTCGGACGACTCGCGGTCACTGCCGTCGGCGGCTGGTGCGGCCGGCGCCACGGGCGGCCTGGGACCCACCTCCTTCTCCGGGGTGCTGCCAGAACAGAAACCGCACAAGGTAAGAATAACGGTGGTGACGGAACAAAAGCTGCACAAGGTTGGGAGGGACATGCTCGAACGAAAACCAAATAAGGTAGGGACATGACGGAACAAATACCGCACAAAGTAGGAACTCGCCGAACAAAAACTGCATGTCAGGATATGACCGAAGTCGAACAAAAACCGCTCAAGTTAACGGACATGGCCGAATAAATACCGCACATAGTAGTAACATGTCCGTGCCTAAATCGCACAATGTTGGTAGAGGCTTGTCCACGGGGTCATGCTGTGAACCGGGAGACGTATAGCCTCGATCTTCTGTATTCTTGTTAGTAGGATTTAGTATAAATGGGAGGTAGGTGAGAGGATTTCGTGCGCCGAATAGTCGCTGGTGTCTGACAAGATTTTGGCTCACAGGCAAAGAAAAAGAAGAAGGATAAGAAGAAACACAAGAAGCACAAGCACAAACACGATCGCCCGGAGAAGAGCAGCCACGATAAGGACAAGTTGGACCGTCTGCGGCTGAAGGAGGAGAACCTCAGCTCTCCGGCCAGCTCCGGACCCGACACTCCCACCCCCAATATCGAGATCAGCTTCTGAACCAGCCCCAGAGGGACAGACAGGCGGTGGGCTGTCGGTCGCTCCTACCGCGATACTGCTGACATCTATCGGCCTGGTGTGGAACTAGGCGCCACCGGCTACCTACCGGTCAGATCAGGAACTAATGGTCATGGAGGCGGCTGCTGTTTTTACGGAGGGGAAAGAGAGGCTTTTAGGCGTTGCTTATGACCGTTGAACGCCTTTCTGTATAGTTTCAATGTGTGATCATCATCATCATCATGTATGTTTGCTTTGGGACTTGCTTGGATGAATGTGTGTAAATGACGTGATTTGTGCTCGTGTGGACAGCGCACTGGACAATGTGAACATGTGGACAAGGAGACTGGACAGCGTAGTGTCCACATGAGCGGCTCTGCGCACATTGACCAGTGTTAGTGCGGACAGTGCAGTGCGACTGTGGCGAGGGATGGTCGGTTGAATTTCATAATCGATCTCTGTAGCCACTGACCGATTGTAAAATATATGTCGGCTGGAACTTCGGCTGAGATTAAACACTGTGGATATGTTGGACAGGATCAAGTTACTTAACTATTGCACAGCAGCTCACCACAGGGAGGGAAGGAAAACTTTTTATATACCGTTGCTCATGTTCAAGTGTGCTGCATTCACTTGCCACGCATTATTTCACTGCATGTCTGCATTATAAAGCAAGCTGATTATATCGGAAACATAGGTCCTTACCCAATATATTGGAGCATCTTAACTGCGGAATATTGCTCTAGAATGGTCTTCCACAGCAGCAACTATGGCCTCTTGGTCGCCCGTCGCCGTTTTATTATCGGCATCTAAATCTAGCCTGCCGTGGCTTTCTGTGACTATGAGGGTCTGATAGTGGATGGTCCTATGCTTGACCTCAGGGAATGGTACTGTAACGGCTTAGAAACACGATTTGTGTAGTGGCATTTCCAAGTCTAGCCGGTTCAGTCGTAGCAAAGGGGGGCGGTTGGACAATGTTTAGCGTTTCTGGCTGACGTGAGCCATGCCCAGATGTCGCTACCAACACAAGTGGCTGTAGATGCCGCTACGGCAGTCGAACAGTGCTTTCTGTCCAGTTCCACTTGGGACTCGAGACACCGGTTCACTTTTGCATTGTCATGCTATAAAACGTACTGGGATTTTTTAATGTATGTGCGTGTATGTCATTGTGAGATGTGATATCAATGAGGCTCACGAGATGTAGGCTAGGATTGTTATTTTTATTGGATTTGATCCCACGTAGAAAATAAAACTCTGCGACTCTCTGAGCTCATATCGACGAAGACGACCAATGGAAAGGTCGTAAAATTTGTGCGAATCTCACACCTCACGTGCAGCTTGGCAAACCATCATCCCGGACCATAACAAAACAGTGTGATATCACATCGGAATCTAAAAATAGAGCCATCGACAGGCGCTATTTCAATCAATCAATCAATCAATTTATTATGCGTCTTTATTTATAAACGTTCTCGGGAAAATCATACACGACACGGATTACCAATTTCACTGGATTCTGTTCAGGTCTGATCCCAGTGAGTTTTCTTGAAAGTTATGAAAACTACCTGCGTGATCGTTTAGCTACATACTAAATATCAAGGTCCGCGGAAAATGGAATCGGATATCAGATTATTTTTAAGAATATTCAATGCACACCGCACACGCCTGGAGTTTTTCATGTCATTGCGAGAAAAAAGTACCTAGGCGTAGCAAAGAAAGGAAGAGGCATCAAATTGCAATTATTTTTTTTTTCAACAGACACACCGCTTTATACCAAGTGCCCGCTAAACGATCATCGACCACATCTGACATCGATCGCCCATGAAGCATGACGGTATCGGTAGCATTCCGCCACCATGCTTCTTTCCCAGGCTTCCCTCTGGCCCATCTAGCTCTCTCTGGTCCCTCCGTCCCGTTCAATAATACATGGGTGCGCGGTGCATGTGGCTGGCTCCCTGGCCACCCACCCACTAAGCAGCATGGCGACGCACGCACGAAGAGAGAGAGAGAGAGAGAGAGAGAGAGAGAGAGAGAGAGAGAGAGAGAGAGAGAGAGAGAGAGAGAGAGAGAGAGAGAGAGAGAGAGAGAGAGAGAGAGAGAGAGAGAGAGAGAGAGAGAGAGAGAGAGAGAGAGAGAGAGAGAGAGAGAGAGAGAGAGAGAGAGAGAGAGAGAGAGAGAGAGAGAGACGGGGAGCTGCGGACATATCGATTCAGCCGCGGACCCGATCGATGATTGCAGCTGGTTTGGGGGCGGGCGCCGCACAACAGTGCGTCGATAGCGACGGAGCCGCGTCGGAGCCGACGGAGGCTGACGGCGAGCAACAGGCGGACGGGGGCGAGTCTGAGGAAGAGAGCGGCAGGGTGTCGTTTGGAGGGGGCTTGATCGGTACCTAGATGTCGATCAGATTTAGCGTCAAATATGTACACCAAAATTGAGCGGAGGAGGTGGACCAATAATTGCCGATATATTTTCGGCAGCAGTAAACGTTGGGAGCGAGGAAAACTTTGTCCCTAAGCGGCTTCTGCATTGTTGGTGACTGCAGTTGATTTATCCAGTTCCAGCCGACCGATCGATTATTGATTCATGTCTCATGAGCAATAAATACGCACATTGCTTGCAGTTTGCTCAATCGATTATTGGTGCAGTAGCGGAAAAGCTCTCGCATGCCTCAGTCCATCGCTTAGTCGATTCATTCCATGCCTCGGGTTACCTCATTTTCTCGTTTCCCTCCATCCCTGTTCACAGCTCCGTGCCCTGGTCAGCTATATAAAGTCATTGCCTTTTCCTGTCCAATTTTAGCTGATCTGCACCGGGCTCAGCTTACTCATCCGCTCTGCACCCCTCCTCGTTTCGTCCTCAATCGGCCCCTCCCCTCCCCTCCCCTCTCATGCTGCCCCCACCCAGTGCAGGCGTCGGTCCGCAACTCAGTAATGGCGGCAGGTTCCTGGAAGCGCTCCTCCCCAGCAGCAGGCCAGCTTGATCTTGCGACTTGCCCAGGGCGTCAGCCGGGACTGAATCACTATCACTAACACCATGTGATTCCTTGGACTGAATCACTACGTGATCCCTTAGGTTGAATCACCGTTCAACCACTATGCTCCACTGCGGATGAAGTCAAAGGGCTGAGGGCCCAACGCTACCAAACTAGCTTTGAAAGCCGGGTAAACCTACAAACATAGGTACCTACTTACGTGGGTACTGCTCTACTTCTCTACTCTACCGCTCCAACACATAATTTAGCCTCCCTTTAGCGTATGTGTGAACACGGTAAGAAGCTCTCAAGAAGCTTCTTCAAAGTCGTCTCCTTCAAAGTCGTCTTTTCTTCCGTCTGGTCGAATCTCATCCTCTCTCTAGCGCGCGCTCTCTTCAACTTCTTTTCTTCTTCTTCTTCGTCTTCTTCTTCTTCTTCTTCTTCTTCTCTCTCTCTCTCTCTCTCTCTCTCTCTCTCTCTCTCTCTCTCTCTCTCTCTCTCTCTCTCTCTCTCTCTTTCTCTCTCTCTCGCTCTCTCTTCCATAACTTCCTATAGCCTCAGGCCTTTACTTTCTGTCCAAAGCGGTCAATCACAATTCACAGCCGTTCGTTCAATATTGAATGGGTAATCTACTGTGCTATTAAATCTTCCAATTTTTCCCATTCATTTAATGCTGTCGTACCTTCTTTCCGGTATTCTGGCGCCACTTTACGCTGCACCTTACGCTGCCTTACGCTCCCCACACCGCGTCTTACGATGTAAACACACTCCTCCTCTGCGGGCCGCGGTTTCCACCGAATGCCCTTAGGGTACGATATCGTTGAAGGCGTCACTATCACTATACTACGCCTTGCAGTGAACCGCAGAATGGGGCATTCCACGGCTAAAACTCGTCAGGAATGTCGCTCTGCGAGCTGCCGGGGGCGCCGCGCTATGGTCGGCCCCGGTGCAGGGCGGTTGGAGTACGGTCATCGTACGAGTTTACCTGCAACACCGAAACTTTGAGTGGGATGCCTGCGCCATGCACGTGGGTTACTGCTCGAGTTCGGTGAAATCTTGGGTAATAGATTCATGGGGCATTCCACGTCAAATCAAACACCGAAATCCGTCATTCCCTTCGATTTTTCTGAAAATTTGTAGGCAGACTGGGCATGGTTCAAAACTGAGTTACGTATAATATTTTCGAAATTTGATAAAGTATCGCTGAGATATAGGTCATCGAATATAGCCAAAAATGCCACACATCAATTTTTTAAATGTCTATAACTCTGGTTCCTTTTCTGGTATCAAAATGATACTAACAGGGTCTTGTAGGCAATTGATAAGGCTTTAATTTTTAATTATAAAATTAAATTGAAGTGACCTTGAAATGCATTTGACCTTGAATTAAAACGTAAAAATTTAAATAGCAAAAAACACGTCACCTTCGATTCGGGTAATTTTTACATATTATGTCCGTCACAATGTTCCTAACCATCTGTGAAAAAATTGGAGTGGGCCATTCATAACTCTCGCGGCAAACGCCGTTTTCATGCATCAACATCACGCAACCGCGCGTGACCTTGAAAGAGAGTCAAGACATGCTTGCTTGTGTACACTTTCTGAAATGAATGATTGCTGATTAGTGATATCCCAAACTCTGCGAGAATGGAAATACATAGTCATCGTAGTCAAACATTCATGTTCCATAGTAAAAGTATCTGAGGCAAACGGTATTTTGCGGTGAATTTTGAGCCGTATGGAAATGCATCATGAAGCCAAAAATTCAACGAAAACATTATCACGCAACGATATCTTCACGTCTTTTTATCTTCACTATACAAAAGAATATACATTTTTGAGTATGTATGGGGAATTTCTAGTTAATCCAATAATAAATATGGCAGTTAGAGACCTGCTAAGAGTAACATGTCGCGGGCTGAGGCGGGATCGGCCGACGCGGGAAACGCAGCAATCACAATTTTGTGTTTACACGTTCATATTTCAATTGTTTACCAACCGATTTTCAAAATTCTTACACCATAATATTGCCTGTACATTTCTTAGTCTTCTCACAAAATTTGACGCGAATCGAACGTAATCAGCGGTAAGGAGCGCGATGTAAAGACGGAACCGTTCCGTTCCGTCCCGGCACAGTCTACAATTCAGGCGGCGGCTAGCGGTCGGCGCCGGCTGCCGAGGACAGGATGTTCACTTTACACCGCTATTACTAGACCAGTTGTGAACCGATTTTCTTCTTGCTTGCACGATGAGATGTGCAATTCAATTTTGGACAGGTAGCTATAATTAATTTCGCATTAATACTATGAGATATTGGCGAAAAACAGGAGGGGTGGGGCGAAGTTCACTCTTCCCCCTCCACTGCGCGTGCTAACATACGTTTGCATATGTGCCATTTTCTTCAAAACTTATGAATGGCCCACTCTAATTTTTTCAGAGGTTGTTAAGAATATGGTAGGCAATAAAATATATGAAAATTAGCCAAATCGAAGGTGACGCGTTTTTTGCTATTTCAATTTTTGTGCTTAAGAATAGAGTTAAGCAA